TTGGTTAGGTGATTTACAATAGGAAATTTATTTGATTATATATTTGTATGGTTGGAGTCTCGCGAGTAAAATTCGCGACACTAGTCAGAAATCGAAATTTATTCAATGAATCTGCTTGAGTTTCACATTCATCATTGTCGATATTTATTTGAAATGTTTTCGCCCATCTAAGCACATAGCTTTTGATCCACCTGATACTATCGTTGTATACATTCATATCATCACTTTTCTGGTCAATACGTTCATTCTTAATTGCGATAATAGAACATGACAATCAATGCAACAAGGACAGAATGCATACTTTATAGGCAAAATGTTCTATTGTAATCCAGACGATAGCCGACTTTTATTTGCTTACAAAAGTGAACATCGAAAGGCATGCACCAATTTGATACAATTCGACAAAGGTTTCAGCTTTTTCTGCGCCGTATCGGATAACATGCTTGAAAAAATTACATATTTAAACAATGAGCACCATGTTAAACTTATCAGGTAAATTACATTAAAATATCTGAGTCGCAATTTTTACTCAATTTTGAACATTGTTAGTAATCAGACAATGTTGGTCGAATCCACTGCAACAGTCATCAGAAATGTTTAACATTTGTAAAATTTTTATGCCATAACATTCAGAACGGTCGTAATCTTGCGCTTAACAGTAATAGATTGTATTGATGAAGCGAAATGATTCAAGCTCCTGGAAAATTCTAAAGATTTAATGGCCTATCATCAGTTTGGATCATCAAAAATTATTTCAGAGACTAGGAAATGAATTTAGAAGATGCCAATTTGAAGGTTTTATCTTGAGCACTATTATAACTTGTGTTTATTCAAAAATGATACTGCGGAATTAAACTGCAACGAAAAATTTGCGTCGCAAAATAATCCACTTTTTTAGTGGTAGCTCAAAATTCTATTATATTAATTTCAATGGAAAATTTCAGGACGAAAAGTGCATCGTTATTCCTGAAAGAGAATAGTAATATCATCCTTATTACCAATGATACATCCAGTCGTGCCGGTTTTTATGAAATGAATATTTTTGACAGTGTTTATATGGAACAACTTGCCAATAATGGTTTGTTTAACAAAATCTTAATCTAATCTTCCTCCCTCCTCCTTAACAGTATTTCAGTCGCTTTTACTGCACAAGGACTTTTCGTGAACATAGTACAATTAAGGAGTGAAATAAAAAAGTCCAATAGGACAGTCAATTCCAACACTACCGGCATTATCAAGAATGAGGTAGATAGAAAAACCGAAAAAACTTATGCAACTCGAGGTTAATTGTTTTTAGAGAAAATTAAGTAATTCGGATTACTGGTTTTATAAGACAGACGTTGAAAGTGTTAATATAAGTAATAACCAGTAAATCAGTGGCTTTTATATTTTTGGAGAAAAAAAAGCAAACCAGAACAAATAAAATTATTCAATTTTAAATCAAAGAAAATGGAGCTCTTTTCTACGCGTTTAGTGCGTTTTGCAGTTAGACCAAAAGTTTTTGAAGAAGACAAGTGCAAATTTTAATGAACTATCTTTCATTACTGCAGTTTTTTTATGAAATCGAAATTTAAGCATAAATAACATAAATGAGATAATGAGAATATAGCCTGATTTCTTTTTTTCTAAAATCATAGCGATGGATTCGCTCCACAGTTGACAGTATCAGTTTGCAGACATCTACAAGAGCAAAGCTCAAGTCATTATTGGATTGCTTGAACCGAAGAAATACGCTGTCAGTTTCTTGGAAATTCACAAAAAAATTTTCGGAAATACCTCATTACAAAGGGACCTGTCTCATTACATTACAATGCACCAAACGACAACAGCCAGTCAGACGAAATGGTACTGTATCGCGCGGTTTGACGAAAGGTAAGTAAAATATTCCGCAGTATCAATTCCGAGGTATTCTTACTGCTATCCACTGACTTCAAAAGAATCTTCAAGCACTGCCAACAATTTAATAATTTGTGTATAATGGCGAAACGTTGTAATAAAGGAAATTAATTTTTTTGTGGGCAATATGTTTTTTCGTATTAATGTTTAGACAATTTTCTGTCTGTATCATCACAAGCATCATCAGAAACAAAAAGAACTTTTAAATTTTAAGGCTTAAATTCCATTATGAAATTCGATGTTTGCTAAAATAACAGGGATAATCTTTCTTAAGAGGTGAAAGTTTGAATATGGGGCCACTTTTTTTACGAAGCAATTTATTATTTGTTTATTTTTTAAATTACAGCGGTTACATGGATTTTAAAAGATACGAAAAGCCGTACTTCGAGGGATTTATGCTAATGTTATATAAAAGTATTGCTAAGTCGAGAAAAAGAATAAATATTTTCAAGGTATTGATATGCAAATTCAAAGTTCAACTTTTTGTGATTATTGTTGTAACACACAACCCTAGCTTAGTTGCAGCACAGCTTTCTTCCAAATATTTGAATCTCGAATGTCAACTTCAATCCAAGAGGTTTAGGAAATGATAGTTTGAAGTTTATGACCAACATTCTAATTGGGGTTATATGTTTTCTGTCATGCAGAAATTACTGCACATAGCCATAGACATCTTCTTTATAAATAGACAAGATTATTCAAGTGGCATGTGAAATCTAGAAAGAAAGAAAATTTTATAGGACTCTGTGGCCAGATATGGAATAGCTGATTATGAAATACGCTTCAATTATGCTATCAGAGCAGCGATACTTATGATACCAGTTCTAAGTGTACTTTTAGCATCTATCATTTTAATCTGTTGGTACAGATGAGATTTATTCTGTCGCATAAGATTGTTTCTAAGTTAAGTGGTAATAAACTTCCTTTCCTCTTCTCGGAGCATTCAATTCAAGAAGCTAGTACTATTTGAATTATATTTTAATTCCCAAAGTTCGTTTTAATAATACAAATAAATGCAAGCAAATTTCGGCCTAGAATTATGCATGCTTCGAGATTCTATAACTCACAGAGAAACAGATACCTAAGAATCCCGAAAAACTCGAGAACTTTGACTCCGTAAGCCCATGAAAAACTCGAAAACTTTAACTTCGTAAATCCATGAAAAATTTAAAACTTTAATTCCGTATGTTCATAAAAAAAGCAAACGCAAAGGACATTTACGTATAAAAACATTTCAAGACATTGTTCGCTCCAATGTTTAAAATGAATTTTAGATGAAAGCATCCGGAAAAATATTTCATCGCTTCTCTTCTACCTGTATACTTCTAAGGTTTTTGTCGGTGTGTCCTCCGTACGTCGGATTACCGAAATCAAAATGCACAGGGTGATGAAATTTTGTAAGTAAAAATTAATGAAAAGAATATAAGCTTACAGTGGACAGCATTACACAAAGACCATGGACAATGATATCCATTGTACCTACGTAATGGACAATCCCAAAGAGCAGCCGTATCTCCATGACGGCCTCGGTGGAGCTTACAAAACTCCTCCCTAATCCTTATGTATATTTCCCTTTTATATATATAATATATATAAAATCCGAAGCAATTTAATTTTTATAGTCAGGCAGACAATACAGCCTCTCCACTCATCCTTCGTGACTAAACCACAACAACGACATCTTTGCACATCCGCCACTATTGGACAACAAACTACGATATTCTTACTATTTGCTAAATACATTCCCCGTAACATATTCCCAACTCAACGACCTATCAACCAACCGACAGTCAAATTATTATCGAAGGCAACAAGGAATTTGTTAGCTGATCATATTGCTTGCTTATTGTATAACTCATTTATCATTGCTCACCAATTCACCGCGTAATATATACATGAATACATCTTTTTTGTTATTAAATAGTAATATTAAGCAAAAACAATATTACATTCCAAATAAATCTATATCGCTGAAAAATGGAGACAGGAGAGAATTGAAATGTCAATTTCCTAGAAACTGAAGAAACAATTTAAGATGCAAATTTCGATGAAATTTCGGGATTCAACAAAAAGACTCGACTGAGCATAAAGGAACGTGGTCTGAAAACATGAAAGAGGTTTTGAAAAAACGTACTTTGATTTGAGCGCTGGGAAGGATAATAATATTTCCTTGAATTGTTCTGGATGAGAAGGACCTACTATATTTAACCTATTAAGTGCATAATCATGCAGTTTACGTGCAGATGGTGGCAGCTGTCGATAGCA